TAACGGGGCTCCAAGTTGTGTGAATCTGCAGTAATAGAGGTCAACTTTGGGTGCCTACTAGAATCATCTGTACCGCTACATTTGACTGGCTTAAAAAAAATAAAACTAAAAATAGAATCATCTGTGGAGTTTAAAGACCTACTGATGCCTGGCCCCATCCGAGACCAACTCATTGAGAATGGCTGGGAGTGAAACCCAAGCATTGGTGATTTTTAAAACTCTCTGGCTTGGCAGGGTGGCTCACATCTGTAATCCCAGCACTTTGGGAGGCCAAAGTAGGAGGAGGATCGCTTGAAGCCAGGAGTTTGAGACCAGCCTGGGCAACATGGTGAAACTCTGTCTCTACAAAAAAATACAAACATTAGCCAGGCGGTGTAGGCACAGGGTAGGCAGAGGGTACCACAGGGTAGGCAGCACCTGTGGTCCCAGCTATTGGGGAGGCTGTGGTGGGAGGATCACTTGAGCCCAGGAGGCAGAGGTTGCAGTGAGCCAAGATCTCGCCATTGCACTCCAAAGGAAAAAAAACAAAACACTCACCAAAATGCAGATGCTTTTGAGAATCCATGCTAGAGTAAGTAACTCTCTGGGCATATTGTATTAGGCATAAGTAAATCCATATTATAATAACATTGCTTTTCAAATAGGAGCTCTGAAGCCTTCACCTGCTGCTAGTTTGGTAACAGTATTGATCTCAAATGCTAGTTGCTGGTATAGCAGCATGTAAACAGCTCTCCTGGGTTTTGAAAAATGGAGATATAATTCATATACCTTACAATCTTTCCATTTAAAGTGTGCAATCCAGTGGTTTTGGGATATTCACAGAGTTGTACAACCATCGCCATAATCAATTTTAGATCATTTTCACCACCCCAAAAAGAAATTCATACCCGTTAGTTATCACTACTCAATCCCTCTGTCCTCCCCAGACCGAGGCAATCATTAATCTGCAGATTTGCATATTCAAGTCATTTCACTTAAATAGAATCGTATAATATGTGGTCTTTTGTGACTGCAGTTAGCATAACATTTTTCTGGTTCGTGCATGTTATAGCATGTAACAGTACTTTGTTTTTATTGCTAATAATATTTCATTGCGTGGATATACCACATTTTAAAACTCTGGGGCCTGGTGTGGTGGCTCACACCTGTAATCCTAGTATTTTGGAAGACCATGGCAGGAGGACCGCTTCAGCCCAGGATGAAGAGGCTGCAGTGAGCCAAGATCACACCACTGTACTCCAGCCTGGGTGACCAAGTGAGACCTTGTCTCATAAAATAAAATAAAAATCTCTTCATCAGTTGATGAACATTAGAGTCTCAGGTGCCTTTAAGATTTTTTTTTTTTTTTTTCCTGTGAGACAGAATCTTTCTCTGTCACCCAGGCTGGAGTGCATTGGTATAATCTCAGGTTCAAGCCATTCGCCCACTTCAGCCTCCCAGGCAACTGGGACTACAGGCATGCACCACCATGCTGGCTAATTTTTTTTTGGATTTTTAGTAGAGATGGGGTTTCACTATGCTGGCCAGGCTGGTCTCGAACTCCTGATATCAAGTGATCCACCTGCCTGAGCCTCCCAAAGTGCTGGGATTACAGACATGAGCCACTGAGCCCATCTCAAGATATTTATTTTTTTTTTTAGAGATAGGATCTTGCTCTGTTGCCCAGGCTGGAGTGCAGTGGTGCAGTGATGTATCACTGTAGCCTCAAACTCCAAGGCTCAAGCAATCCTCCTGCCTCAGCCTCCTGAATAGCTGGGACTATAAACGTATACCACCATGCCTGGATGATTAAAAGAAAAACATTGTAGAGATGAGGGGCTCTTTTAGTTACCCAGGCTGGTCTGGAACTCCTGGTCTCAAATGATCCTCCTATGTCAGCCTCCCAAAGTGCTGGGATTATAAGCATGGGCCAATTTAAGACATTTTTATTTTATATTTTTAATTTAAGAGTTTTGAAAAGGCGATATAATTGAGTATAACTATCCTTCCAGAAGTTTTTTCTTTTTATTTTGAGATAGAGGCTCATTCAGCCGCCTAGGCTGGAGTGCAGTGACATGATCTCAGCTCACTGCAACCACTGGTTCCTTGGTTCAAGAGATTCTCCAGTCTCAGCCTCCTGAGTAGCTGGGATTACAGGTACCTGCCATCATGCCTGCTGAATTTTTGTATTTTAGTAGAGACAGGGTTTCATCATGTTGGCCAGGATGGTCTTTTGTGTGTGTGTGTGTGTGTGTGTGTGTGTGTGTGTGTGAGGCGGAGTCTTACTCTGTTGTTCAGGTTGGAGTGCAGTGGCGCAGTCCCGGCTCACTGCAACCTCCGCCTCCTGGGTTCAAGCGATTCTCCCGCCTCAGCCTCTGAGTAGCTGAGATTACAGGCACCCGCCCCACGCCCGGCTAATTTTTGTATTTTTAGTAGAGATGGGGTTTCACCATGTTGGCCAGGGTGGTCTCGAACTCCTGAGCTCGTGATCTGCCCGCCTTGGCCTCCCAAAGTGCTGGGATTATAGGCATAAGCCACTGCACCCGGTGGCCAGGCTGGTCTCGAACTCCTGACCTCAGGTGATTCACCCACCTCAGCCTACCAAAGTGCTAGGATTACAGGCATGAACCACCGAGCTCAGCCCAGAATTTTTTAATTGCATGTGTATACATTTATAATGAAAAAGGAAATAGGATCTTTACTTGTTACAGCAGAGTCCCTTTTTTAAAATCTTGTATTAATAGAATCAGAAGTTGGTTGGTTAATTCAAATGGTTTCCTGAGAGTAACCTGCTGGACATAGTAGTCAATGGGCTGTTAGCATCACTCATATGTTTTACAGGGAAATAGAAGGTAAATGTTGGTTAGGTCAGGTTCAGTTAAGAGAACTGCTCCTGCACTTGGACTTTTTTGAAGAAGATAGATTTTCCCTATCTCATTACATAATAACATTTATTGAACACCTACTATTCTGAACAGCATTGTCTTAAGTGCTTTACATGCATTAATTCCTGTAGTCATCAGTAACCCTATGAATGGGTACCATTAGTGTCTCCTTTTTATAGATGAGGAAACTGAGGTGTAGAGGGAGGAAAATTAAATTGTTCCCAGTTAGGCACACTGTGAGAGGCAGAGTTTGAATTCCAACTTAGTCTGGTAGAACCCAATTCTTAAGCATGGTACACTATGGCTTTTTTATCAGTTTAAATTGCTTTATAGGATGTGATTATAGGAATGTGCCAAGTCATAGTTTATTTTATTTTGTTTTGTTTTATTGTCTATTTATTTAGAGACAGAATCTTGCTCTGTCACCCAGGCTGGAGTGCAGTAGCATCATGTTGGCTCACTACAACCTCTGCCTCTCAGGTTCAAGTGATTCTCATGCCTCAGCCTTTCAAGTAACTGGGATTACAGGCATACACCATCATAACAGCTTAATTTCTCTATTTTTAGTAGCATCAGGGTTTTGCCATGTTGGCCAGGCTGGTCTCGAACTCCTCTGCTCGTGATCCACCTGCCTCAGTCTCCCAAAGTACTGGGATCACAGGTGTGAGCCACTGTACCCAGCCTCATGTCATAATTTATTAATCACTTATTCTATTTTTTTTTCTTTCCACCTGGCAACTTTCATTTAAAGTCACTTATTCTAAGAAACAAAAATTTGCTGGGTGCAGTGGCTCACGCCTGTAATCCCAGCACTTTGGGAGGCCAAGGCAGGCAGATCACCTGAGGTCAGGAGTTTGACCTCTCTGCAGGTTCAGAGGGGTCATCCTAAGGCACTTGCTGGAAGGCAGATGCCAATGTGCCTGCACACAGGTCCACAGGGGCAGGTGAGGGAGCCAGAGAGGAATCAGCTCTGCGTCAGAAAGGACTGGGGAAATGGACAGGAAAACCTCACAGCTTTCTCCCTCCCTCCCGACGGAATACACACACACAATGCTGGGAGCCCAGAGCAACCTGGGGTGACTCCCAGGCTCTCCTGGACCTCCCAGAGCTCACAAGAGGAGGACACCCAGGGGCCAGCCTTGGGCCCTCCCTGTCACTACATCCTACGTAGAGCTCCACCAGGAAAGGATGAGGCCTCATGCTGGTGGGAAGAGGAGCAACAAAAGCTCAAAGTAAGGCCCAGTTCTAGAACAGAGCTCTGCTCTGGCAGGAGGGAGGTGAGACCTGGAAAGACAGAGGCGGGGGCGGCAGATGGTTCAACTCTGAGAACAAAGCAGAGAAAGCAAACTGATCCCCAGGAAGCAAGCAGCCTCTGTATGGAGAACTGTCCTTCCCTTCACTGCTTACACAGGGTTCGGCCTCCTGGACCCTGCACAGGGAGACCTGGTGATCCAGAAGACTATGGGAAAGCACCCCAATTCCTGGCCTCCTGCAGAAGCCTATCGCTAGCTTTGCTGATTTTATATGAGGATGATGATGATGATTTTTGTTTTTTT